CATTGGGTAAACTTGTTTGTATGGTACAAGCCATCCATCTGGTATTTTTAGAGGAATGGCAAGGACAATGGTTGGGATTTGGGGGAGACACAATTACCACATCTCTGGAAGTAGGCTGCTTTTTTACCATTATTCTGTTTTTAGAAATGTTTTTACTATATTCTAGCACCTCAAGGTCATATAAGCCAGGGCTTTTCAACCAGTGGTACGGAGCTGTAGGGCTGTCAGGGCTCAGTGGAAGCGCTGGATCTTGGCGCTGATCCTGGTGCTTCTGCTGAACCCAGAAGAAGCACCGATCAGCTGGAATGTTGCAGCATCTTCAGGGTCTTGTGATTTACATTCAGATGCTTGGCAACTGATTCATATTTATGACAGCCATAGTGTCCCAGGGTCATGTGAAGTGACCAAAACCTGCTGCAAACACCCAGCAGATGGGGGGAATAAAAACCAAACACAACCCACCCCACCCCCGCTGCCAATCCTCAACAGAAATGCTCACAACAATGAAAACCTTGGAAAGGAGGAAGAGCACCGCCGGGTGGGCAAGCAAGTGTCTTGCTCGGCTGTGGCTTGGGGGGAACTTTTTTCAGTGCCATTGTAACTTTGAACAGTCAGTAAGCAAACTGTTGAAAGTCCAGGAGTACCTGTACTTCATCACTTTTTTCCTCAGTTTTTTTGGTCATCATGTTTTTGACACCTTGCTAGGCGACTGGTGGTACTCGGATGTTGCCATATCCTAAAAGTGGTACAATGGGTGAAAAGGTTGAAAAGCCCTGATATAATCAAGTCAAGGCAGTGAATGCATCCAACCCACCTTCCTCCTCTTGCTTTCTCCACAACAATTCTGTGAGGTGGGTTGTGGGCTGAAGAACACAGTTGACTTTCATGGTTAAGGTCACAGTCTCTTGTTTTCTAGTCTGGGGTTTTAATTACTAGACTGAACTGGCTCTTCACAAATTAAAGTCCCCACTTTAAGCTTTAATTCAACAGCCAAATTAAATGGACAGCTGCATAGGCATTTAGAAGGAACTGGACGCTCTGCTAAGAATACCTGGGAGGAGACCTGGATAGCTGAGTTCATTGGGGGGGGAAGGGTACACAGGTGTGGTCAAAAAAATTGAGATGGCAGCATCAATAGTGGGATGCCTGATCACACAATAACATGATGGGAGCTCTGCACATTTGACACATAGACCAAGCATAATTTCCATCACAGTGTAGTGACTGTCATTTTGACTTTTTTGACTCTACCTCTTGGATATTCTGCTGCATGTCCATCTTCCAATCTAAACAGCAGCATCTTCTTCTTACTGTGTGGTTGGGATTCGCAGAACATTAACAAGGAAGGCTACTGCCATGCAAGGTCTGTCCTGCTGAGGTGCTAGAAATGTATCTTCATCATATTGTCATCATATTGTTTTTTGCTGGCCTCTTGTGGCCAAAAGTAGCAGCAATAAATAAATAGCTATTTCTGAGTGTTGTTTGTGATGACTGCATACTCAGATCACCAACCTTTTAAGGTTAAATTAGACAAGGCTTTAGATACTTATGTGTTAACTTAAGCAAAACTGCTCTAGGATTGGATAGAATAAAAACAAGGAAACCAAAGGCATTTTCCAAGGCTAGTGAGCTGCAACTCCCTATCACTTCATCAGCAGCCAGTTTAATGGGAGAGGATTGAGAAGGGAAACAGCTTAGGAGTGGAAAGGGCTGACATTGCATAAATAGTAAGATCAACAGCTGAAACTGACAGACCTTATTTTAAAAATGCCTAAGTAGGAGGGCTAAAACACTGAGACAGGCATCATTTTCTCATTTTTTATTTAGGAAAAACTTTTCATGGGACTGAGCTACAGTTCAAGTCCACAAAAAGGTGTGTCTTCTTTAATCAGGCACCAACAGGTACAACAAACATGGCCACTCCTCTCCCTGAGGCCTTTAGGACTCAAAGACCTGCCATTTCTGCATTGTTATCCCAATATTTTTTGTGTTATCTACAAATTTTAAACTACTTACTTTCTTTATTCATTAACGTTTGAGAAATCTCCAAGACTTCTCAAACGCTATCTATGGAAGGTTTATCAGACGTCAGCAAGACTTCCAAATAACTCAACAATTCATCTGGGCCTGAGATTTAAACTTGTTTGAAATAAACAGGGAGACTGAGCTGTTGTTGAAATTATCTTTAACCTCGTGCTTCGCCTGCTCCTCACAACTACATCTTGTTGGAGAAGACTGAGCCAAAATACTGATAGGAGATGAGTGACTCTGTTTTTGTTACTTTACTTCATTTAGCAGACAGTATGTGGATTCTGTTCCTTCTATTTTGAAGACATCTAAGGATGACCTTTGTGATATTTGAAATATTCCTTACCAAGCTAAGTTCACACTGAGCTTTAGCTTTCTTGACCCCATCTCTACAGTTCTGATCTATTTATATTTCTGCTTTCTTGGTGACGTGTTCTAGTTTCCATTTTCTATACATTTCCTTTCACTTGTTTCAAATCTTTGCAAGTTTTATGTATCAGCACTGGTTTCTTCTACTGTCCTATTCCATTTCCCATTGGAATTTATTTGTAATTTTTTTTCAGCATTTCCTTTTGTAGGAATTCAGACTAAATTTGAATCCTTTTCCATTTACCTGCTATGGAATTCTACTTATTATTGCTAAAAGTGTTAAAACTGTATGGGCTGAAATCCAAGGTTTGAATTTGAATATATTTAGCTGCCTGATAATCAATAATTTCATGGTTACATTATCATTATCCCAAACCCAATTTCTAATGTTTCTATTATTTCTACTTCCTCTATTTCCTCAACTATCTTTATTAGTTGGTATCAAGTCAGAGTAAATGCTCTTGAGACTTCTTCGATCACCTGAAGGAGAAATCGTAAGTGACACAAGTTAGGAATTTACTTCTTTTCCAGTAGGTGTAATTAACATCCCCTATTATTTAAGAAACCTGCAGTTTGCTTTTGGAAAGAATTATCTGCAATTCCTTGAGAAAACACCAGCTATAACAATTTTTCACAAGTTTTACACTCCCAACTCTTCCTATAGAAGTCAAAAATCTTTATTTAAGATTCCCATTCAGAATTTTCATTTCCATCTCTTATAGGATTCAATTAAAAGCCCTTCCATCTAGCTCATGATGCTTTGGCCAAAAAACATTTTTACCAGGTCTTACAAGGAATAACTCATGCCAGTAGTCCATCATTTAGATAACTCTCATAACTCCAGAAGTAAATGGTTCCTACCAACCCCATTTGCATATCCAATTGTTCAAATACAAGTAGTCCTTGACTCAAGAGTATTTTTTTAGCTACCTTTCAAAATTACAATTGCATTGAAAAAAGGGACTTTATGACTGTCCCTTACACCTACAAACAGTCCACAGCACCTTCACGTTCATGTTATCATGCTTGGTATCTGGCATTTATGACAATTGCAGCATCCTGGGGTCACGTGGTTGCCATTTGCAACATTCCCAGGCTGCTTCTGACAAGCAAAGTCAGTGGGGGAAGCAGGATTTGCTGAACAACAAACAGTGTGATACGCTTAATAATTGCAGTGATTCACTTAACAACTGTGGTAAAAAGGTTGTACAGCTGGGTGCAATTCACTTAACAACCACCTTGCTTAGCAGTGGAAATTCTGATCCCAATTGGATCGTAAGTCAAGAACGTACGTAATAGTAGTTTGGAAAGTTGAAAAAAAACCATAGTGGAAAATAATGGCACATCACTTTTGTTCAGTTATCAGGATGGATTGGTTCATTAAGTCACTAAGCATTGAAAGTTACTTTGAAACTTTTGAACCTACAGTCCTATTGGCTGAATTATGGCTGATCGCTGCTCCAATCCTTTGACTCTCTGTTCCACCCCCACCCCCCAGCGTGCAGCAATTGCTACAAGCCTGCATTTGATGCAACTACTATACGCCAGGTGGGTTGGGGGCAAGAATACAAGAATGTTATAAACATTGCAGGTCATGAGTGTAACTACTTGGTTTGTTTGCATGTTTGGTTATTCAGACATCACTAACCACCAGCTTTTATTTCTTGTTCCCTTCTCAGGTTCTCAGGTTAGTGCAGTTCAGTGCTTGACTTAGAAAGTTAGAGATTTCATGAGAAAATGTTTATTTAAATTCTCTGTTCACACAGTCAGCTCATTCCCTGGAACCTGGCTACCTTGTATTCTTCCTAGTCTCTGCTTACTTAGCAGGAATCCTATTCCCAGTCACCCACAATGGACTATCAGTGGGTCTATGACAATTCGCTATGGCCAGCTTACCATGGCCAACTATTGCAGGACAACTCGCCGTGGCCAACTCACCACAGGACAACTTGCTAGAGGCCAACTCACTGCGGGACAAGAGTTACACTAATAGCAAAGAAATGGTGGAATAGAATCATTAAAGAAGGGATGCAACAACAGGGACAAAATGAAATGTGAATGAATGACAAAACTTTAATTTTTTTATTTTAAATAATTGAATTGAACTGTTAAGTTGCCCCATGGCAAGTTGTCCTTCATCATCCTATTATGAGTTGGCTGTAGTGAGTTGTCTGTGGCAAGTTGGCCATGGTGAGTTGGCCGGAGCAAGTTGGCCACAGTGAGTTGTCCCATTCCGCCATCAGCAGCTATTCAGATGACTATTCAGTTTCTCTGGCCATCCTTTTCCTTCTGCTAAGTTACTGGGAAATATCCATTTGCTATCCCTATTTGCTTGACTAAAGGCTGCACGATGTATAAGAAGAAAGTTGGTGGTGCAACTATCAGTACTCCAGATTAATTCAAGTGACTTCTGAATAATTCCATTTATGAAAATTCAGACTGGCTTTGATGTCGCCAAAAGGCTTGTGTATGTCAACTGCTTCTGGGAGTCTTTTGCTCTGTCTTCTTGGTAAAATACTGGGTCAAGGCTTCCAAAGATAAAGAACTCAAATACCATTCTCTCTTAAAACAAATGTAAGATTAATCACATTCCCTCATCAGAGTTATTCTCCAGTTCAAATTCTCTCTTTATTTCAGAAGCAGTTTATCACAACCATTCCCATAATTCTCTTTACATTTCTTTGATTTTAAAGCCCTCCCCATCTTTGGCTATTGTCCATCATTTTGGGACTTGCACCAGTGGTGTTCTCGTCATTCTTGGAATGATTCCACATTTGTGTACAGTAATCCCATGCTTTTGTCTTCTTTATGCCTCCAGAAATGATGTACATCTGGCTCAGCTGCAGTGCAATAGAACCTGCTTTGAAAGTTCTTTTCAGCTGGAAAAGCTCAAGCTTCAGGTCCTGAAATGGAAATGCCGGCTTCACAGCTTTGCAATTTCCTCACTAGCCTGGCAAAGCAGCAGGGGTGCCATTGACAGCTTCACTCTGACCTTCAACAGGAAACTAGCATTTGTCAAGTCTGTTGTTTCCCCCATCTTTCCCTTTGTACACAGAAAGAGGGAGGATGTTACAGAATAGGATCAATTTGGACCAAGCCAATGAAATTTTGAAATAGCAGAAATAGTGACCAGGATACAAATGTTTAAACTGATGGGGGGAGGAAAATGTTGTCTTTGTGGAATAGGCTTATTCAAGACACACTAATACACTCTAGCCCAGGAGTAGGCAACCTTGGCTCTTTTATGACTGGTGGATTTCAACTTCCAGAATTCCTGAGCCAGCTGTGCTGGCTCAGGAATTCTGGGAGTTGAAGTCCACCAGTCATAAAAGAGCCAAGGTTACCTACCCCTGCTCTAGCCTATATTCTGTTACATTTGTAGTCTCAATGTTAAACTTGTTTACCTATGGGTCCTATATTGAGGGAAGGAGCATTGTGCATACATGAGATGTTGCATACTTGGTAATTTACCTTCTCACAGTACTTGGCAAAGAAGCTTGGTTAATGAGTGGCAATTACAGCCACGTTACACTGTTGTGTACCAAATATACCCTGAGTCTTCAGAAGCAAAGATTTGGCTTTAGAACAATTGAAGCAAAAAACACTTATACAGGTTGAAATCAGATGAAATCTCATAAATGAAAGTTGACACAAGTATTTGATATAGTTACTATTGTACTGCAGCACAATGTAGAAATTATTCTTCCCTTCCCCGCCACATACTCAGCCAGCCTCCATATTTGTCACCTCCACTTTAAAAGAGGTATTGACACCTTATTTCATTTTTACAAACTCTTACAAAGTATGTTTTCCAGGGCTAAGAGTTGCAGTTTTTAAAGGAAGGACTGAACTTCACTTCCAGAGCTGTAATTATTCCATTTTGATTAAATAACAAAATGCCATTAGCCTCATTTCTATGTCCACTGCTGAACAGGTGAAAAAGCAACTCCATCTTTTCCTGGACTTGATTCTAGATGCTGGCATCATTAAAACAAGGTTGAATAGCCTCTATATCTCTTAGGTCACTATGCCCACCACATCATATTGTATAACTGATAAGGGGTGACAAACCTCACAAAAGGCTAAATTCAGTAATAAATCCCATCACCAAAAAGAAAATAGAAAGGGACAAAATTTTCCAACTCCATCTACTTGAATCATGTGATTGGATTACTTTAAATCCCGTGATTCTTCTGAGTCCATTCAACATTAATACATCATAAGCAAGATCATAACAAAAAGAGATTGTTCATCCTTACATTAAAGGGGTGCAGCCTGGTAAGCCTGATCCATCAAACCTGTCTGCCTTTTGTAAACAAATGTAAAAGCACAGAAGCACAAGAGGTGATGCACATGACAACTGATCCATATTAGGGTTGTTGTCACGACTCTGTGCAACAAAATGTTACTCAGATTGTCAACCTCCAATCTTTAATAGGTTTTAAGAGAAACACTAATGAAAGGAGAACAAAATGCCACTGCCTGTAACAGAAGAAAACTCCAGGAACAAACGTAATCTCATCATTTGAGAACTGTCAATGATCAAACAAATGTAGTATATTTTCTGAATGTGAAATAATGTGAAGTATACCCAACAAATATTTTAGCTTATTTTTGCAATCACAATTTTGGGGTACCAGGAGATTATTGGCAACTATAAAATGGACATTTCTATTTTTCTTTCTTCATTCCATTTTCTTCAAACAAGAGAAAATGTATCTGGTAGAATTTCTGCCTGCACTATTCTTAAAATGTTCTAGTGGAGTATTGGAATAAAGCTGTTGCCCAATCATCTCTCTACAGGATGAGAATTTTACAAAAGATTCAAAAGCACCATCACACTTCTTTAGGAGCCTTGCAAGTCAGATGTTCAACCACAAACAGTGCATTTTGCTAGTTAAAAGATGCATTTTGTTCCCATGAATTGGGAACAGAGGATTACCTTCCGCCTTCTCAAATGTCATATTCTCTAAAACAAAAGCATGAGGAAAATTGGTTTTTCTCTCAAGGTGTTTTTCAAATGCTATTAGTATCTATATGTTGGAAGATTGTAGTCCAACATAACTGGAGGCAACAACTTGAAGAAAGGGGCTTTATGAACCTAAACTTCATCCCGCTAACATTTCAATTTCATCAAAGAGATGCTCAAAAGAATTACAACGTTAAGCAGCTGGTTTCCTATTAGAATGCTGCAATATGACTTTAAGGATTACACACAACTCTAAATGAGAGAATTTTTTAAGAATCTTTCTAGCCCAATATTTTGTGGGGTTATTTTAACATAGTTCAGGCAAATGATTTGAAAAGAGTATAGGTAATTATTTACTTTTAAACCTATTTATTATTCTCAGCCCAGAATGATTCTGACAAACTCATCTGAAAAGGCCATCCAAACTTCTGTACTACATGGTTTTCATAATCCATACATTAATGTTAATGTATGGTTTTTATAACTAATCCTTACATTAATGATAGATTAAATATGGTCATGTTTCTCCACTTTGATTGGACAGCACTGAGTTGCCATGCAGAGTAGTTCTGCCTCTACTACCAAAAACATAAAATTGGGTAGTTGTAGTTCATTTAGTAAACGGTTACTAAACAAAGCTCACTATGCCATCAAAATTCCACCTTAGTGTCCTTATAGATGCATCCTTTGCTATGTGCAAGGTTATAGACAATATTGTAAATTGGTGTAATAAGAACTAAGATGTGGATTTACCTTATCATTGGTCTAATTCTATTTTCAGGGCAACCAGCCAAATATTTCTGAAATTTCAAAAATAATTGTAACACACAGAGGTTTCCTTTATTGTTACTCCTTGGCACCTAATATTTAAAAGTATAGTATCTTGTCATGTGAAAGGTGCATTGGATTACCATGGCTAACCCCTGTTGACTTAACCTTTCAATAAATTGCTGATCACTAATGCAATAGGGCTGAGAACAAGGTAATTCATTTACATGAGATAGTCATTTTTTTAACTTTAAGGAAAAGAGATAAGACATCTCATCAGCCCATCCCCATCTAATTCAACAATTTAAACTCACCATTTCTTATATGAAATAACAGCTTTATATACATATCTGAGAAATGTGGAGCACATGCCTTACAACCTGGGGAGGAGCTTCTGTGAGAATAAAAATCTTGTTGCTACCCTACCCAATTCTGTTTAAATGTTATGTTACATATTCTACACACTCAAATATCAACACAAAGAAAGAAGCAAGAATAAATCATGCTGGAAATCCCCTCAGTCTGCCCTAAAGAGATTTAGAGCTGGCTATATCTTTAAAGCATTCTGTATATTCTATAGATAAATCAGGAATCCACCCATATAAGTTGTTTTCAACCTAATGGGGCAAGATTTTGAAGGACCTCATTTCTATTTCCATGGCCTTGGAACTAAGCTTTGCAGATTTACTTCTGCATAAACACAAGCAGGATTGTATAGTTAGAGAACAATCCTTATTTCTAGATAAATAGGCATAGGGAGGAAGTCTAGTGGTGTCATGTTATGCATGGAACTTAGAAGAAAGTCCTATTATGTTCAGGGACTACAGTGATTGTCCACCTGCCTTGTTCTCTTTGAAAAGCAATCCTTCCCCAAACTCTTGGTCCACATGACACAAGTTATTTGGTGATAGGGCAATTCAGATTGTGTGAGTTGTTATAGAAAAGAAACCCTTCACACACCACAAAGCTTCTAACATTAACTCTTTAGACCCCAGCCCTTAATCTTTCTCCTTCAAAAGAAGATTCAAATTATTCAACCCAGAAACCAGTAAAGTAAACAAAGGGCAGTGGAGTGAAGAAAAAAAAAAGTAAGATGTTTCCCCTGATAAAATTCTGTGCCTTACAAAATTAAGGGTTGCCCTTTCAAAAGTATTTTATAATAAGAATTAAGAGTTGAGGAAGAGGGGGGAAATTGGCTTTTTGTTAGTAAGAACATGTAACAATGTGTTTTTGACACACACACACACACAGACACACCTTTAGAAAACAAAGCATTTTGCTCAAAACAATACTTTTATCACAATGCTCAGAACCCCCTCACTTCTCAATTTTTCATTTGCCAAAATCGAAATAAAAAAGAGAATGGTGAGATTTTGGCTTTGTATCCATGTGATCCAAACAAGATATATTGCAAATAAAAGCAGCCAGATAAGTACACCACTAGCCAAAATTAAGTATCTTTAACTCATATTAGTCACAGTTGCAGGAAACACTGAAACTTAAACACACTCCAGGAAATTCTGGCAGCAAGGAATGTTGTCCTATTGCTTTTAATTAGCTCTCCCTGAAAATATGACCAAAGCAAATTAGAACAGTGGCTTGTGGGGTTTTTTTTTAAATATGCCTTGCTCTTTAGACTCTGTATTGTTAAATAAGAGACCAGCCAAGAATTCAGTTTTGAATGCAGTGCTAACTTTTTCCCCATTGTGCATTTCTGGCTGTTTAAACTGAGCAGAATTCATGAGCAACTGTGCATGAGCTGATTATTACTTACCAATGCCAGGTATCTCGGTCATTCCTGGCACAGTGTTTGTAGAAGAGTGGCTACCAAATTCAAGTACGTAACTCTGGTTAGATAATAGTTTTGAATCTATAATGAGAAGCGTGACCAACCCCATACATGAATCTCCATGGTTTGGTTTGGCTTTTCTGGCCTTTTGCTTGCCACCCTCTTTTTAGAAACTCTTCAAATTCCAAACCTGTACAAAGTTTTTTTTTTCAAATGTATTTATATATATTTATAGATATTTGTATATATAACAGATATTCTTTCTTAAATGAATCCTTCCCTCCATGTTGTACTGTACTTTAAAAAAAGAAACTGAGGAACTGTTTCTTTTTTTAAAAAAAATTGCTGGTGACATTTTTAGGAATATGTGAGTGGACAAGAAGTAGAAGGAGGCAAGAAAAGAGGTAAGATTGCACGGTCAAATTGAGGATGAAGAGAAGGTTTGAGCAATTTAAAAAAAATGTTATACCCTTTCCTCGAAATATCTGAAATGCAAACTCAACTGGAAAAAACCCCCACTACTTCATTTTCACTGCAACAAGAAGCAAGCAACATCTTTGTGGAGGCATGTACGTGTGCATGACAAGACTGAAGAGTGGGGGAGGGATGCGTGCCACAGAGAAGGGTTGTTTTTTTTCTGTAACTAGTTTCTTTTTTTAAAAAAAAAAAATCTTGCTCCTAATTTTGAGCAGCCGTTCTTCAGATCTACTTGCTGATCTGCTTTCAGAGAAGGTCTGGGCTTCCCTCCATGAGAACAGGGGCCTCCCTTGCAAGCAGAACCCTGTTTGAACAGCTAAGTGAGAAATAGTGTGCTGGTACAGGAGAACATAAGAAGCCTTCCCTCTTGGGTCTGAGCAGGACTGATGTGGTACAGAGAGGGAGGAGAATGCCTGCTGCGGCAGTCTGTCCCACTGTTTTGCCTTCACCCCACCTCTGCTCCTCCTGAGACGAGTGTCCAGGCAGACCCAGGAAGCAAAAGACCAATGTGCGCAGAGGGGGGGGGGTTCAAGCAACTAGTTCAGGGGTCCAGCATGGTCAGGGTGAATGTGTGGCAGGACTGCTTCTGTTGGAGCTGGGCGAGAGGCTAGGGCTGCAGCTGCCTGGAGGTGGAGCTAAGCTACTGATACGGGAAGGAGCTCCTGTTGAGCCCCCCAAAGAGTCCATGCCTTCAGAGTTCTCCAGCATTTCCTGGATGAGGGGTGGCATTGATCCAGGAATCTCCATTTTCAAAGTTATCACTCTTTCAGCACCTGCAGGAGGGAAGACAGCTGATTTACCAATACAAAACATAACCAGAGCATTTTCCAAGTAAGCTAAGAGAATATACTGAGGGTGCAAGCAGTACTCAATATAGTTTACTTTTAAAAACATTCAAAAGTGCAGTATATAGTAAAGAAGACTCACTGTATTCCCAGAATTACCTTTCAGTTTTGAACATGACCAGAGATGGGATTCAGCCGGTTCGCATCACTTCGGCAGAACTGGTAGCTAATTATTTGTTGCCCAGGCCCAGAGTGGACTTCTGAAAGTGGCATCCACACAGAGAACCGGTTGTTCACATATTTGAATCCCATCACTGAACATGATGTTCAACATGATCCTACATACCAGAAAGTTTTTAGTTGTGAATTCATTTTTTAAACCTCTGCTCCTTACAGATCTAAGAAAGAAGAAAACTTTTTTTTTTTTTTTGCAGGGTCTGAAACTCTGTCCTTACCTTTTGCACTGATGCTCCGTAGATCTGTAATCTTCATCAGCATTTTGGGGAACATATGGGGTTTGCTAGGTCTCCTCTTCCTCACATAAATTTTCAGGGCTTCCAACAATGGTTCTTGCAATTGATCCACTCGGTCTGGTTGTTCCAGATCTTGTCGGTCTGGAGAGGAGGGAGAAATGAGGCAATTAAAAAGTGAATAGAACACATTCTACTTTTCATATCTTCTCTATAGTAATACAGTCTTTGCCTTAAAATGTATCACTTAACGTTTTTTTGTGTGTTTCTGAATTTGGTATCCTCCAGATGTGCTTGACTTCAGTTCCCATTATCTTTTGGAAGGCACTTTATAGGGGATGGTAGCTGACTTCTACCTGTGCATAATCAAATAATCCTGTATGCCACTGTCACCTTTAACAAAAACTGAGCATAAGAGTAAGTTTGCTGTGGTGACTAAAGTGCTGGAAGACTGTGAGTTCTAGTTTTCCCTTAGCCATGGAAACAGGGTGGGTAACTGTGACCTAGTCAACCTCTATTACCTACCTTGCAGGGTTGTTATGGTGGTGGGAGAAGGGAGTCCTAGGCTCACCAACTTAAATTAACAAAAAATAAAGGTGGAATATCAATAAAAAACAAACCCATAATATTTATGTTTTTACCTTCCATAGTGAAAGTAAATGTTTAGCAGCATCCAATGAAGGTTTTGTCACGGGAACAAAGAGTCCTCATTTTACAACAGCAATTGGGACAAGGATTGCTTGGCAGATGAGCTGGCTTGTGTTCTCACAGATATTTTCAATCTCTCATTGTGTTTTAAGATGGCCATCATCTTGCCAGTGCCAAAAAAGTCCACAATTACAGGCCTCAATTACTGTCTGGTTGCACTGACATCCATCATTATGAAATACTTTGAGAAGCTGATAAAGGACATTATTGTATCTAGCTTCTCGCCAGCATTTGACCCACTTCAATTTACTTACCGACCAAATCGATCTAGGGAGGATGCTATTTCTTCTGTTCTCCATCTGAGCTTGAAGCACTTAGAGGAAAGAAATACTCATGCGCGTTTGTTGTTTGTCGACTTCAGTTCAGCATTTAACACAATCACTCCCCGCATCTAATAGAAAACTGGGTCTTTTAGGCTTAAACACTCCTTTGTGCAATTGGATTCTTGATTTTCTTACCAACAGGCCCCAATATGTGCGAGTTGGAACAAATACTTCTAACACCATTTTCTTGAGCACAGGTTCTCCTCAGGGCTGCGTCTTAAGTCCACTGCTGTTCACCCTATTGACCCATGACTGTTGTGCTAGGTTTGTGAAGTTCGCAGATGATATAACAGTAGTGGGCCTTATTCATGACGACAATGAGGATGCTTACCGCAAGGAGGTTGAGGGGTTGGTGAACTGGTGTAAGGAGAACAGCCTAGTTTTAAATGCTAGAAAAACCAAAGAGATCATTCTTGATTTCAGAAAAGGCAGGCACAGCCACATTTCTCTGTGCATTAATGATTCACCTGGGGAAATGGTTACCAGCATCAAATCCTGGGTGTGCAGTTAACAAGTAGGCTGTCTTGGTCGCTCAACAGCGAGATACTGGTAAAGCGGGCACAGCAGCGCCTGCATTTTCTGCGTCGTATGAGAAAAGCACATCTTCCTTCCCCTATCCTTACCACTTTCTACAGGGGGATGATCGAGAGCATCCTGTCATACAGCATCAGAGTCTGGTTTGGAAGCATCACTTCCTGCTTCAGACAGGAAGACGGTGCAGAGAGTGGTGAGGATGGCCGAAAAGATCATTGGCAGTTCCCTCCCTCCCATCCAGGACATAGTACAGAAGTGTTGCTTGAGCAAGGTCCGTAAAATTGTCTGGGACACTACACATCCTCTTCACAACCTGTTTTCCTTGTTACCTTCTGGGAGGAGGCTCCATGGTATCCAAAGCAGAACATCCAGATTCAGCCACAGTTTTGTTCCATACAATATAAACCTTGTGAACTTTCAAGCTTCCTCCTTCTGTTATATATTCAAGACGGACAGTGTTTAATATTCATATGTTATGTATATCTAGCGGTGTAGGTCTATATATATGTTGTATATAGTATGTATATGTTGTATATAATATGTTTAGGTGTGTCTCATGTATGAGTTCACTTTGAGAGTGGGCAACTAAATTTCATTTTTGATGTGTGTCATTGTGCCCACAGTAAAAAATGACAATAAAGCTTATCTATCTTATCTTAATCTTAAAGCACATTGCCACATGAGTGCATCGCTTAGCAATGACAATCCTGATAAACCTGGTTGCCATCATAACACCAAAACATGTAATGTTTGCTTAATGAGAAGGGGTGGGAATCCCATGGAAAGAGCATGGCAGTACTGAGGGGCATGGGGGAAGCAAGGATAGGTCTTGGAGGGCCAGCACAAGCCATGCATGAGTTGGTGAAAACGGGGTACTGCAGCATGCATGCAGGAGGAAGGAGGGATTTCCAGAGCTATTGCAACTTTCCCAAATATTGACCTTGCTTATGGGAAGCCAGCAGGGAAGATCTTGAAAAGTGATAGCATGGCCACAGAACACTGCAACTGTTGTTATGTGCATATTGGTTGCGAAACACCTGCGATCACATGATTGTGGGGACTTTACGATGGCTAGAATTTTGAGGATTGGTCATAAGTACCACTATTAAAACTGAAAGAATTGCCATTAAGCAAAGTCCCAAAGGTGCTTTTTCATGAGGCAACTGGACTTTCTTGTTTTTCTTTGAAGACGTTTTGCTTCTCATTCAAGAAGCTTCTTCAGCTCTGATTGGATGGTGGGGCATGGAAAGAGTTGTATTCCTTGTAGACAGCTGGTCATTTGCATTCTTTTAGAGCTGTTGAGACCATTTAGAGGTTTGTTTTCTGCGCTGTGTCCCTTCACCGCTGAAGACAGATGCAGGCTGTTGGGAATGAGTCTGTGTTGTCTGCATCTTAAGCTGAAGCGCAAATGGTTCCTGTAGTCTGCATTTCTTTCTGGAAATTTGTCCATACTCCCGCACCATTCGAACGCATGCTTCAGTTTGAGATGAACACATGATATTATGAACAGATTTCCTCTACCTTTTCAGTCAATAGTATTAATATTTGAAGGAATTAGAATAAATGGATCCAGGCATTTCCCACATCGTATTGCATTTATCAAAAGCTTTAAAAAATACCAATCATTACAGATTTATTTTAATTCTAACCACCTGGTGGTGCTATTGGTCAGGACACAGCGCAATTACTTTTAGCCTCTCTTTCTTTCTAGAAATGTACACATATAGTACAAGTAAAAAGCTGTATCTATCACTCTCTACATACAATTGTGACTTTAGTAAGCAAATAAATCACAGGAATTGCCTATTAGTATAACTCTGCATATCAAGGCACTACATATACCCCCTGGTTGGTGCAATGCAGGCGATGTGTATTGGCTTGCAAGAAAATTTCTAGATCCTAGCATGCACAGAATAGTGTGAACATCCTGAGAATAAAATAGGGTTCTGGCTACCCTTGTCCCATATTGGCCAAGATATGCAAAAAGTGACCATTACTGTCCTTATCATTAATAGAGAATGTGGTATGTAACAAAGGTACCACCAAGGCTGGTAATCAAATCTACCCACTATTCTACTGGAAAATAATTTATAAAAACTGAAAGTGATCAAAGCCATAAGGTCTATGGATTTATTTGATCCTGACTGTGTCATATGGATAATCAATCAAATCTTTATTACGGTCGTAAGCTAGCATAAGAAGGGTGAAATACAAATAATAATTTTAAAAGCTAGAAAAATAATTAAAAAAAGATTTTTAAAATTAAAAAATATAAAGACATAAATATTGTTTAAAAAATCTATTAAAAAGTTTAAAAGCACTAAGCAAACACAATCCCCCCCACAAAATTTAATATATAGCTAAGTAAATCTATCATAATACAAAATCCATCTTAACTAACTATATTTTATGTTTTTTTTTTAATTTTTAAAAATACTGTGTTCCATCCTTCTAATGTTAGTCCATGGTCGTAATAAAGATTTGATTGATAATTGAATGTTATATGGAAATCGTGATTTAGAATGTACCATGTTTCCCCCAAAATAAGGCCAGGTCTTATATTAATTTTTGCTTCAAAAGGCATATTAGGGCTTATTTTCCGGTTAGGTCTTATTTTCGGGGAAATACGTGAGGCTTCTTCTGGGAATAGGGCTTATATTATGAGCATCCTGAAAAATCATGGTAGGGCTTATTTTCCAGTTGGGTCTTATTTTGGGGGAAACACAGTAGTAAATACCATAAACTAAAAAAATAAAATGAATTAAGGAAGAAAAATAGATGTAAAATAAAGGAGAAGGTTGTAATAGATATGACTGAACGTTGTCGATCTTGTGGAGCAGAGCTGATTAATCTTGCAGAGTTGATGAACACATGTAGATGAGTGAAGCTGCAGACAATTTAGAAATAAAAGGACTAAAATATAGGTCAGAAAAAGCAAAATGGTGTGCAAGAAAGCAGGAATCCATTGGCTGGTGACAGTTACAAATTATAATCCAGTACATGACAATATCAAACTGCTTCTTCCCACATTGTTATATGAAAGCAAGAGTTGGATATCTCAGAAGAAACATAAAAGTAAATTGCATACAATGGAAATCAGTTATTTTAAAAAGGTGGGGTAATTAATCTAGATTGAATACAGAAGCTAAATGAACAGTATGAAAAACGTATGGGTAAGCAGTCTGATGATATAGAGCAGGGGTAGTCAACCTTGGCTCTTTTATGACTCGTGGACTTCAACTCCCAGAATTCCTGAGCCAGCATGGCTCAGCTTGGAAACCTCTCCCTTCCCCCTCAGCATGGCTGGCTCAGGAATTCTGGGAGTTGAAGTCCACGAGTCATAAAAGAGCCAAGGTTGACTACCCCTGATATAGAGAATGAATCAAGATAAAATCACAAAACAAGGGAAAAAATGGCTCTTGAAAAAGAAAGAGACAGAGAAAATTGTGGTTATTTGGAGTTAATGAACCCTTAAAAGAGAAAGATATCTATTTTCAGGGAGATGCTATTCCAGAATCCTGGAAAGAGGCCAATTTTGTTACCAAGGGAAGGACAAGACTTAACCTCTACTAAAAATTACAGACCAATTACCTTACTGAATAACTGTAAACTATTCACATTAATTATATAGCCTGTAGATTTAAAATGTTTTTACAAGATTTTATTCACTTTATTCAGTGTGGGTTTTTATCTAAAATATAATTAAAAGATAATATAAGAACTGTATTGGATGTAAGAATATTACAACATAACGTAAAACAAGCCACATTAATCCTAGATGCAGAGAAAAATTTTAATAATTTGAATTGGCCTTTTTTAAAATTAAAATTCTGGAAGATATGAACTTTGGCAAGAACTTTATTCAAGGATTGAAGTTGATACATATGCCTCAGAAGGCTCCAATTATGGTTGAACTATGTGATATTTAGAAGGAATCAAGGCTTTTGTCTTTTGTTGTTTATTTTGGTTCTTGAAGTATTGAACAGAAATATCAAATAAGGCAAGAAGACAATGGGATTAAAAAAAATTAAAACTGAGACTTTTAAGCTGAGAGCAGGGGGTCAATCTATTCTCCAAAGCACCTGAAGGCAGGACAAGAAGCAATGGATGGAAGCTAATCAAGGAGAGAAACAATATAGAACTAAGGAGAAATTTCATGAAAGTTACAACAGTTAATCAATGGAACTCATTGACTGTTCCTATACGGGAAGTTGTTAAGAAGAGATTGGACAACCACTTGTCTGAAGAGATAGACAGCTTCCTGACTGAAGAGGGAATTGGACTAGAAGAACTTCCAACTCTGTTATTCTGTCAAAAGTAAAGAGAAATTTTTTGACAGTGAGAACAATTAATCAATGCTTATCTCCTGGAGCTGTGGGTGTGCCATCATTGGAGATTTCAAAAATAGCAAGACAACCATTTGATGGGGTGGTATAAGATCTCTTGCCTTAAGCAGGGGGTTGGACTTGAAAGACTTCCAAGGTTCCTGCCAGCCGTATGATTCTATGTTCTATGTTCTAATCTGAATTGCAAGCCTACACTACATTGGAGTTGGGTGGCCGTAATAAATGTAAATAATAAATCATACATATACACTTTTGGTCATTTGTTTTGCTGTTTCCTTCTTAATGGGCTTTGTTTCTACTATTATTATTTGTCTTTAACAATTTTGCTGATTGATTTTTTTTCTTTTTAAAAGGTCTGACATTTATCTATCTATTACTCTTTTTTAATCTGTCATTTTTTCTTCCCATGCATTATTTTGATTGAAAGTCTGCATTGAAAGAAACAATTAGAAACTTGGATTAATAAATAAATAAATAAAAGTAAACTTCAAAAAGATGGTATGGTACTTTGGAATGTAGGTTGTGGTTAGAGGTTTATATGACTGAAAATTCACTTCTTTTTTAATCTGTCATTTTTTCTTCCCATGCATTATTTTGATTGAAAGTCTGCATTGAAAGAAACAATTAGAAACTTGGATTAATAAATAAATAAATAAAAGTAAACTTCAAAAAGATGGTATGGTACTTTGGAATGTAGGTTGTGGTTAGAGGTTTATATGACTGAAAATTCACTTTTTTTTTTGTAACCAGCAAAGATTATAATGCAGGAACGATGAAATCCCTTACTTCAAAATAAGAAAGCTCACAAACATTCTTTCCCAATGAGAACTAGCTACATTGGTTCTCATCATTGGCTCCAGGAGGTTTGATGAGTACCAACAATGATCAGTACCAAACAAACTTTTCTCATAAGAGAAAAGAGAATGTAGTTGAGCCATGCATTGAGTACCAAATTTGATGAGTTTCAAAACAGTCGAGTACCAAGATACAACTGTACTTGGCTGTTTAGAATATAGAATGCATATCTCATTCTTCCCTAACTTAATGTGTTCCTTATTGTTGGACTACTCCTTTCATACCCAAGTACAGTAGGCAATCATCATGCAAGCCTATGTTTTGCAACCTCAGGATTTTAAGAAGTATGAACTTCAATTTCCAGAATTCTCCAGACAGCATGAAAATGAGAAATGCTAATGTGAGAGACAACATATTAAGAAGCCTAGATCATATATATTAACACCACTGCATTTTGTAGCAACAGTGGCATGGTGGAAGAGAATTCCAAAGATTTCCAGACACAAAAGCAAGAAAAAGGAATAAAACTGAATATTAATACTATTAGGAACTACCTAAAATTAGTTCTGGGTCAATTGTGACAGTGGGTGGAGTTTACAGAGTTTTCATATTTACTCAGGAGCTGCTACACATAGAAACAGTAGGTCTGAGAAGGTATTATGACACTTATCATCAGAGTGCTATCCAATGTACATTTTTCTTGTCTGAAATCAAGGTACCTAGCTGCATATGCTTGTATAGCTTGCTCTCTGCCTTTGGCAGGTAAGGGTCAATGCCTCTGTGCATTCCATAGGCAAGCCCTGAAAATATGCAAATGTCCAAAACTTAATCTTGATCTTATTTATTATTTATTGGCCCAGTAATGGCACTCACCTCCACATATGAGGCAGATGGCACTGAGGAGTCCTGTTTCAGCATCATCCATCTCAAGTGGCAGCAGCTGGTTGGCAAAGGCAAAGACCAGGTCTGTGAGGGGTCCAAAGCCTGCATTATGCATCTGAGTGCGGTTGAGGGTCAGGCCATCAGAAAAGGTCATGGTGTCCTGCTCTGGTGTGTAGCGTGTGCATATCCGAAGGATCTGTGATGGAAAGTATGTTAGAGGTATGCATTACAGTTGTTCCCCATCCTTTCTATGTTCTACCTATAATATTGATCACATTTAGTGTGTAATATTAATATATTACACACTAAATGTGATCAAAGTTCAGCTGCAGGACTTGTAATATTGTTAAACAGAGTAGGTCATTTGTTTCAGGTGGCAGATCCCTGGGAAGACACTATAGCTACCTTTTATACAATACTCTTTAACATCCTGGCCACTCTGTTCTGCTGGACATTGTTGTGTATGACCCAACACCTGTCCTGAGCTTATCACCATAATTATGATGGACAGCACTTTTTGTTTCTTCCCAACATTTTTTTGCAAGTGCAGGCTGTGCTTTTTTATCAACCAAGTATTGATTCATTGGTTATGAGAAAAGTGACTGGCCCACAGCTACCTAGCCAGTTTTCATGCTGAAGGCAGGATATAACTCAAATCAATGTCTTGATTTCTAATCTAGTGCCTTGCCCACTAGACCAAATTGGCTCTCCAAATAATGATTATATATAAGAAATGGAGACCTATCATCTACCACCATATCTTTCTTCTTTAGCCTTGGGCTGATCCTGTGAAAGTATGGCTTGTGTGCTAATTAACTCCTCTCACTCCATAATTCTATACATTTCCTCATTTTTTTTATTGCTGAGCTTTATTTGAAAAGAAAAAGGATCACCTACTTACCAAGATGTCAAGGCAGGCAGCTTTGAGGAGTGTGATCTGGTCAGCAATTGTGAGCGTGGTAAAACCTGGCAACTGCTTGGCAAATTCAACTGTCTTGATGATGCACTTTGTGGACAATTCACTGAATTTGTCCCACAGATCAATGTCAAGAGATATCCGTTGATCTGAACTGTTGTTCTATTGGCGACAGGGAAATTGCATTTGAGAAACAAGAATGAGTGGATTAGATTTACAGCAATAAATCCACAGTTCATTACTAGCTTATTGGTTATAATTCTTTGTGTGATGTGAGAAAGTCAATAGTTTCTTTTGATGGTTTCCTGACTTTATTTTGATTTGTTTTGTAATCACACAAAAAACAGTTAAAAAGGAGAAAAAGCAGACAAGGAATTGGCTGAACAAACCACAATTAAACTGCTTGTCTAAAAAATTGACTTGAATTTGTTCAATGATCCATGCCTATAATAACTCAGGGCTTAACACGATGTATTAAAGTGGTGGTTTTTAAAAAATTGTTTCCCATGTTATTCCTGGTGGTCCAGATATTTTGTCTACTCATGAAATAAACAGCTTTTCACTTTATCAATCAATCAATCAATCACATTTCTAAATTGCTCATTCTCCCTCAAAAATTGTCTAAAGTTCCTTGTCATTTTCTTCTGGCTATAACATAACTAAATCTTACATATTAAAAATGAAGTTAGAAACTGATAAAAATAATCCTTAATAATATGGGAATAGTTAAGCCAATTCTAGCAACAAAAATGAGGACCTCTGCTTTTACTTTCAAAAAACATGTGTTGAATGTCATCTTTAGTGGTTTCTATACCAACTAAATGAATGGTCAAGGTGACTTTTCATCTTTATTGCTTAAAGAAATGATTTTTTAAAATGTAGAAAATTGCCTGATGAAAACCAAGAAAGCTAGATAGACTGTTTAGTCTAAACAGTAGCATAAAATTTCATTAACAAAATAGGGGACTGTGTATATCTCTGTTCAGAACATCTAAGACTTTGAATTCTGAATCATCTATTATTTTACAAATTTCTCTGAGGGATTGCAAAGGCTTGAGTTATAGATGTTAAGATGCCAATTCATCTGGAGGACACTGAGTTTGGACAAAGTTGTCCTGCTGAGCTTTCCCACCCAGTCTTCTTTGGCCCTTATCTTCGCTGTCACTCACTGTGGTGTATTTGCCCAATTGGCAGAGGGCAGGGAAGGTCTCCTGGTGAGCCTTGCGCACTTTCTCAATGAGATCCTCCACCTCAGGTGTAATGATGTAGCTCTCTGAACATTCCTGTTTTGGAGCATCTTTTTTCTTCTTGTTCCTATCATTGCGGACAGCTGCAAAGAGAAGCAAAGGGACAATATATAATCAAAAGCTTCAATGAACAACCAATCCATTCCTCATGCAGATTTATACAAATGATAACAGTAGCATTAGACTTATATATCACTTCACAATGCTTTATAGCTCTCTCTAAGAGGTTTACAATGTCAGCATATTGCCCCCAACAATCTGGGTCCTCATTTTACCAACCTCGGAAAGGTGGAAAGCTGAGTCAACCTTGAGCTGGTGAGATTCAAACTGCCAAACTGCTGGGAATCGGCAGTCAGCAGAATTAGCCTGCAATACTGCATTCTAATCACTGCACCAGCACATCTCTGTTGTTGTTGTTGATGATGATATAGTTAATTTAAGACATAATAGGAATTTTTGGAATCAGATAATCAATTCTGAAAACAGAGTTAGTCGCGCTAGCGAGAACTGGTTAGGTGATCTGGCTAAAGGAAGCTGTGTCCTGCTTTTCTGCAAATGACAGCAATACAGCCGATACAACTTTATTTTTCCTTTTCAAGAAAGATACATATTTCTCACTTTGTTTCTGATTGCTGATCTTCTGTGAATCTCATCCCACCCCCTCACCTTCTTTTTTATTATATAATTAAAAATTCTCAAATAAATAAGGTAATTTTTATTAGTGGTGCTTCCTATCCAAAATGTAGGTGATTTCATTTAAACTCCAAAAATAAAGAGATGCTAAAAGATAATGCTGCATTTCCCAACCTGGTGCTCTCCTCAACTTTTCTCCTCAACAATACCTGGTCATATTTTTGGGAAATTATGGAAGTTGTAATCTATTCAGTACCAAGTCAGGTGTGAAGCACAGAAAATCAGGAAAACCCAAGCAATTCAAATGAATACATACATTTATTGTATGCTTAAGCTCTCTGCAAGAATCTAAGCTACTAATGGTCAAAGCAAATTGGCAGTAAATACGAGTCAACAGAATTCAGGTGGGCTGGACTTAAAATCTTTTGTGAGTGTGAAGGGACTTGAAACTGATGACACCTTTGACCCTCCCTTGGGCTCAGCCTGGGTCATCTCTTACATCAGGGAAGGCAGAAACAGAGGAATACCATTCTGGGTATTGGCAGAAGGCAGGGAAGGTCTCCTGATGAATCTAAGTTTTACCAGAATCCCAGACTGTTTTTGTGCTTGCTTTTTTCTATAATGTAAATATAGGCTTAGGTCACAAGCTGTCAACTAGAATTGTTCCAGTGCATGTATCTATCTTCACATTATCACATGTAGAAAATCATGCTTTGGTAAGGAAAATCTCAATAGTAAGCATGAGACAAGGAAGGAAAACTGAAGAGTTAGTTATTAAATGTATTATGCTTTTATTTTTTTTATGCCACCTGCCTAATAAATAAGTAATTGCTAGAAAAGAACACAGAGATACTATCCAGATAGTTGTAAATCTTTAAAAATTGACTGAAAAAAGAAAACAAAACTGTATTCCTGAAAGAATGCAGAGAGAAGGCAAAGAGAAGGAAGAACAACAAAGATGCTGAGTTAGGAAGAAGAACTAAATAGGAATGCGAGTTGATAGAAAGCAGCAGGAGTCAGAGAACAAAAGAAGCAATGGGGCATTTGCAAGAAGGTGCTGAAATGGAGATTTAAAATATGCATTTAAAAGGGGACATTAAAAGGAGGAAACTCCCAGGACAATTATGCATTCCTAGAATTTGAATACTAGTTAACTAGAAAATTTGCAATAATTTCCCATATTGTGTAGAAGCAAGCTCAGTAAAGGAAGGATAGAACAAAACATATATAACAACAAAAAAACCCAGGCCAGAATATATTCATACAACAGAAGAAATTTCACCCAGTAATGGATTTTTTTTTATCACCATCTTCTCTGGAAGAAAGAATCAGACTTGGAAATACAAGACTGTAGCAGATCTCTCTATCACGAAGCTGATATTCCCTAGGACTGTTGGTTCCCAAGAACTCAAAAAGAGCTACAGACTGATTTCTTCACCTCTTGTAGATGACCTAAATGTCTCCTTCTTAGCCCCAAACCAATACATGCTGTCATATGCTCCAAGTAAGATTAAACACGTTACAATGATGCAACGTCATATTGCATGGGAAATAAAAATACTTCTTGCATATTACTGAATATAAGCAAATAATTCATCCAATCCACCACAGTATCATATTTATGTCAATAACTTGTGCCTTTTGTAATATTTTTAATGCCTTAGCATAAGTGGAGAAACAAAATGTGATTTTATGATACATATGTAGGCATCAAATGAAATGTTAGAAGGTGTTGAAGCCACAGGAACCTTGGGAGGTAGTGATCATGCAATATTGGAATTCAACATTATGGAAGCACAAGCAATAGAACATAGTCAAACTAGAATCTTGGACTTCAAGAGAGCTAATTTCAATAAATTTAGAGAGGGCTTGGGAAGGATTCCATAGATGAGAATCCTCCAGGGGAAAAAAACTCAGGAAGCTTGGGAAATTTTGAAAAGCAAGATAATAGAACTAGCCCAGCCTAGCTCAATACCAACAAAGAGGAAAAATGACAGCTCTCAAAAGAAACCAGCATAGCTGCATAAAGAACTCTCTGATAAATTGAAAGATAAAAAGGACAAGTATAGAAAGTGGAAAGAGGGGCACATAACTAAATCAGAATATCAATAAATAGCCCGAGCCTGCAAAGATGAAGTGAGGAAGCTAAGGCTCATAATGAACAAAGGCTTGCGACCAAAGTCAAAAATAACAACAAAAAAAGCTTCTTTCAACATGTAACGTCACCGTTTGACTCCTGCGCAATTGGAAAATCGACTCCCTGATGCTGTCTCGGCATTCTTGGGATAAATAGACCCGGCATTCCACCGTGTCTATGATGGCCCCTAGGTGTAATAACCTTGTTGTGGGGACTAAATGGCTCTTGGAGAAGTTCACCGAGAACCGGTCATTCTGGAGCAGCATTATCACCAGTTTGAGATCCGCCTGGATCTCAGGTGAGCTGCTAGAACCACCAGGATCTTGGTAAAGACTCTCAGAGCCGAGGATAGACTGAACGGGAGTGCCCTGTACTGATAATGATATCCCCTGTGAGCGAATCTTAGAAACTGGCAATGGGTGAGAGAGATGGGGATGTGGAGGTACGCTTCCATGAGGTCGATAGACATCAGGAAGTCCCCCCTTCTTACGCTTCCAAGATGGACTGGAGCATTTGCATCTTGAATTTGCGGTATGCAAGATGATAATTTAATCCTTTTAGATCCAGGATGGCTCTCCATCCTCCTGACGCCTTGGGGACAACGAAGAAAATGGAGTAAAATCCCCGACCTCTCTGATCCAATGGCACCAGTTCTATGGCCCATATGTTTAAGAGGTGACCAATGGCCTCTCGCATTAGTTTTTTCTTTGTTGGATTTCTTAGTTGGGGACAAGAAATTAAGCGATTCGGGGGGTTAGAGATGAACTCCAGTCCGTGACGCACGGTGTTTAGGACCCATGCATCCATGGTGGTGGCTTCCTACTGGCGGGCAAAGAGAGAGAGTCTACCCCCAATGGGAGGATCCACCTGAGAGTCACCTGAATTGGCAGATGGGGCGGCCGCTCCCACGAAAGGGCCGTTTGCCCTGAAATTGTTGTCTGGGTCTGGAAACCTGTCTGTCAGACTGTCCTGTCTGTCTTGTCTGATAGGGAAAGAACGGTTGGGCTAGGAGTAGTTGGACCTGGCTCCAGCGCGAAAGGGCTGCCTCCGTGAGTAGGTGTTGGGATGTTTGTCTAACTGTTTAAGGAGATGATTGAGGACCTTACATTTATCCTTATTCTCAATGAGGTAACGATTCAGAGCTTCACCAAACAATTTCCCTCCCTGATAAGGGGCTGCTGACAAGTGCCATTTGGACTTGGCATCAGCATGCCAGTGTTTCAACTAGAGCATACGGCGGCCAGTGACGTTGGATGCCATGGCTCTGGAGGAAAATCTGGCGGCCTGGAGGGTGGCATCAGAAGCATATTCTGTAGCTGCCACTATCTTACTTAGATCTTGATGCGTGTGGATATCCTCCGCCGGTATCCTGGCCTGAAGCTGTCTAAGCCAGCGGAGAGCAGATTTGTTAAAAAAGGATGCAGAGGTAGCTGCTCTGATAGCCCAAGCCACCGCTTGATGTGTTCTATGGAAAGAGAGCTCACATTTACGGTCCTCAGCCTTGAGAGCCTCAGAAATGTCGCCAGGAATGACAGTTGGAGACACAAGGGGTCCTAAAGGTTCATCTACCATGGGTACCTCCAGAGCCACCTCCAGGTCCTGGGCCACGTTATAAAGTCTTTTCTCATCGCTACTTGGAAGGGGAAAAGAGACCCATTGCTTTCAGACTGTGTTGAGGAACATGGGAGGGCAAGGAATGCGGTATTGTGTTGTTACCGGTTCGGTGAAATTTGGATCTGCCTCCAAGTCTAAGTTGCCAGCGTGGAAGGATCAGGTCCGAGATGTGCCATGGAAGTGGCCTTATGAAGCAGGGGCACAAAAAAGGCAGGGTTAAAGAGATCGCTAAGTGATGGTGTCTCAGGGGAGGATTCCTCCTCCTCAGACATCAGAATCTCCAGATCAGCCTTGTATTCACGAGATGACGAGTCCCCAGAGTAAATGGACTGCGAAGGGGGAAAAGGCGCATGATAGGACTCAGTAGCCGGCTGGTGGGTGGGTAAAAAGGTGACCGCGGGTGACCTACCTGCTTGTGATCTGGCCTCAAGAGCACGCTCTACCACCTGTGCAATCATCTCAGCTAGGCGGTCCTCCGTGGGGAGGGGGACCGGTTCACTTGGCCTAAGTCCGGCCGCAGTGGGGGTGAAAGTAGCTTCAGGGGCCACGTGTTGAGCCCGTGGAGCGGAGGGCTGAGTGATGGGATGAATCCTGTCGATGTCCCTCGGTGTAGGAAATAGTTCTCCTGTTGATCATATCCCCAGTGGAGAAGCAGAGGGCCCCAGGGGCAGATCAACAGAAGGCACTTCAGCTTGTGAG